GAAGAGTTTTTCCTATGCTTTCTTATAGGATTTTTATGGTGTCACGTCTTACATTTAAGTCTTTAATCCATCTCGAGTTAATTTTTGTGTATGATGAGAAATAGGGATCCAGTTTCATTCTTCTGCATGTGGTTCTCCAATTTTCCCAGCACCATTTATTGAATAGGGCATCCTTTCCCCAGTGTATGTTTTTGTCTGCTTTATCAAAGATCAGTTGGTTGTAGGTGTATGGTTTTATTTCTGGGTTGTCTATTCTGTTCCCTTGATCTGTATGTCTTTTATGCCAGTACCATGCTGTTTTGGTTACTATAGACTTGTAGTATCATTCAAAGTCAGGTAATGTGATGCCTCCAGTTTCAACCTTTTTGCTTAGGATTGCTTTGGCTATTCATGCTCTTTTTTGGTTCCCTATGAATTTTAGAATTGTTTTTTCTAATTCTGTGAAAAATGATATTGATATTTTGATAGAAATTTCATTGAATCTATAGATTGCTTTGGGCAGTATGGTCATTTTAACAACATTGATTCTTCCAATCCATGAGCATGGGATGTTTCTCCAGTTGTTTGGATCATCTACTATTTCTTTCATCAGTGATTTGTAGTTCTCCTTGTAGAGATCATTCACCTCCTTGGTTAAATTTATTCTAGGTAATTCATTGATTGATTGATTAGTTGATTGATTACAGCTATTGGCTTCTCCTCTCTAGCTATGAAAGCCCTAGATGACATCTTCTTCCAATAGGAGGACGTTTCTTCTCCATTGAAAAATCTATTGTTTAGTATAGCCACCTTCATCAGTTATCTTAGCTAGATCTTCTGGGATAACTTGCTGCAGCTTCTATTAATACATCAGCACTCGCTGCTTCACCTTGCACTTTGATGTTAGAGAGATAGCTTCTTTCCTTAAACCTCACAAGCCAGCCTCTGCTATCTTCCAACTTTTCTTCCGAGAGTTTCTCACCTCTCTCAGCCTTCATAGAATTGATGAGAGTTAGGGCCTTGCTCTGGATTAAGCTTTGGCTTAAGGGAATGTCGTGGCTGGATTGATATTCTATCCAGACCACTAAAACTTTCTCCATATCAACAATAAGGCTGTTTCACTTTTTTATCATTCCTGGGTTCACTGGAGTCACACTTTAATTTTCTTCAAGAACTTTTCATTCACAACTTGGCATACTGTTTGATGCAGGAGGTCTAGCTTTTGGTCTATCTCTGTTTTCAACATTTTGTTGTCTTGTATGGGCATGGTTCTGTGAGAATTACCAAAAGGTGATGCAGAGACGTGAAGTGAGCAAGCACATGCTGTTGGAAAAACGGCACCAATAGACTTGTTTGTTGCAGGGTTGCCTCAAACCTTCAATTTATAAAAAACACAATTATCTGTGTGAAGCACAATAAAATGAAGTATACCTATAACCCTTGTCAAATTAAAGAAGTTACTTTCTATTCCTAGTTTGCTAAGAGTTTTATTTTTCTATTATAAATTGAATTTTGCTTTT